GACAGATTAAGATGGAGTCTTTACTGGCACTGCTGAAGAAGGGCACAGGCCAGACATCATCAAGGGGTTACATGTAGAAATATTTGTCCTACATCTGACAGCAGCATTCCAAGAGCAATGCTTCAAATTCTCTGTGGAAACGCTGGACAATCTTCAATTCCTTACTTACTGTGTACAGTAAAACATACTCTCCAAAACACCTTAAACACAGAAAAAGTGAAGATGAACAAATGTGCAGCAACTTTTAACTGTTTAAATAACCAAATTACATGAAATATTTTTCTGTTTATTTTCCAGGATTGTTTTCACTTTCGCATGGCATTATAAATCTTACTTTAAGCTGCCACCTTGAAGATAAAGCAGAGTTGTGGAGGGGCTATGGGAATAAACAGTATACTCTATGTAATCCATCCATTTTCTAACACATCATCCAGTACAGGGTTGCTGCGCAGCTAGAGCCTATCCAGGCAATCAGCTGGGACAAGGCGGGATTCACTTTGGACAGGACACCAGTCCAATGCAGGGCGCACACAGACACAGACACATACATCCACACACTCACACCCAAGCCAGTTTTCCCAGAAGCCAATTACTGTAACTACCAGTATGTATTTGGACTGTGGGAGGAACTCAGAACACCCAGAGAAAACCCATACAAACACCAAGAGAGCCAAAAGCTCCATGCAGATAGCATTCCAAGTCCAGAACTGAGCCCAGGGTCCCAGCACTATGAGGCAGAAATGCTAACCGCTAGACCACTATGTCACCCTACAGTATGTATGTATATACTGTATCATTTTTACTTGAAAATTCTAGCTTTGTGAAACTTTGGCACTGACAAAAGAGTTTAATATTGATTAAATGCATCTATTGCATGTGAATACGTTTTTTAATGCTCTTTCTCTGTTCTTATTTATATTGTTCTATACTGCATGTTTATTTTGAGTTATACAGGAACCTTAAAACCACACACTTAAAATCAAAATGAGGTAAGCCTCTACAGCACATTAGATCAAAGAAAGAAATTGGAAAAAAACTTTTAACTATCACTATGTACATCAATTTTAAATCCCCTTATAATTATTTTGTTTGACAGTGTCATTTTAAAATGATTTATTTACAAGAATTGTATCACCCTGGTCTAATAAATTTTTCATTTTAAAAATTGGCTTCAAACATAATTTTGTGTAAAGGACACAGCACATTGGGTGTGGGAATTGCTGTTGGGCTAAAATGACAGAACTTGATGTCTCCAGATAGATCATGTTATTTATTACAGCCCAGTAAAACAACATATCCAGGTCAATTAGAATTAAAGAGAGCAGGGGGGCCAAGCTTGATCTGGAGTCTTTCGTGTAATACCACATGTTACCACCCGGGGGCGAAAGCGAATACTTGGAGAAGTTTCACTCCGCTCGTTTTCATTTTTCCTTAGTGCAGTTAACTTCACCTTTTCGAATTTCGAATAGACAGAAGTGTATTTCGCCTTTTTTGTAAACAGCTATTGTCTCATAATTAAAAATTCAAAATCTAGTAAAAATTCGTCTAATTTCCCAAATGACTTGAAGACAGTTTAAGTTAATGTAGTATTTTGACAGCAACCTTTGCTTATTGTATGTGTGAGGCTTATTTAAGTAAAGGATACGTACTATATGCCGCATCTGAAATAAGCTCCTGTAGATTATTGTAACAATTCATTACAAGTTTAATAAGATGTTGACTATTTTTTTACAACAGCAGGTTAATATATATATGTTTCTGAAAAATAAATACGAGACAGCCCTTTCTCGTATGTAGACTCGTATTTATGCATTATAATGAGGACAGTGCTTCTGCGTGATCTCTGTGTAAACTTGTAAATGTAAGCCGTAAACCTGTGATGTAATATACACCTTACTTATACATGTGATGCATTATACAATGTATGTGTCCAGGCTCCAATGTCACAATTTAATTTAATGTACTTTTTATAGGAATTATGTCTTTGTTCCAAAGGCACTCCCTGTCTCCCCTAATGGCCCCAACATGCAACTTAAATCTATCACATTGCTGGCTTTCCTAATTGTATTTATCACCCTGCCAGCCTCTGGGACAGCATCCAGCATTGTTGTATGTGAAAAGCATACTTATGACCTCTTTATCACTTCAGGCTCACTCAAGCTTTAGCATTCCTGCCTTGGTCCAGCCAAAGAGCAGTTTACCTCGGGAGTTAAGAGTAGTCTGTGCCACAGCTCTGCCCAGCGAGTGGAACTGTTTTGAAAATATACATATCTGTACCTGTGCTCGTCATGTTGATGTCAAATGCCAGTCCAGATGGTGCGATCTCCTGTCCAGCAACAGCAACCACGGGTGTGAAGTTAGCCGGAGTCTGATCGTGCACGACGGCTGACTCAATCCGGGCCCAGTAAGTAAAGTATGACTGCACAACTGTTATGCTGGAGAAGAAAAATAAAGAAAACAGTACATAGTCTAAAGGAGGAACATGAAATTGAACAGGAGAACGCAATAATAATACAGGATATTCCCATTCATTTCACCTCTGGCCTTTTCCAGGTTTAGATCAAAACTGAATACAACTTTTTTTTCAGTTTTTATAAATGCTAGGAGCTAAAACAGACACAGAAGGTTATTTAAAAAAAATCCAAGTTAAGTGTTTTCACAGTAAGTGCCCCTCTTTGAGTGTGATGGTGTTTCATCTAGGCCAGGTCTACAGATCCACCTTAGCAGAAAGCATTTTCTTTTGTGTGTTCACCTCCCTGTTTAAAAGCATATTAATCCTGCCTGGGCTTTTGCAAAGAGCTTGCTGTCTGCTTGATTTACACATCTGAACTTTCAATATGAAACAGTGGCAAAGCCATTTGAGCAACAACAGGTTTACAAGTTGCAGAGATGGGGTATTGGATTCAATCATCCTGCCGTTTAAATCAATAGTACTTAACACTGACCTCTTAAATCTAATTTCATTTAAAGACTTTATTCCATAAGCAAGGCTTTAATGTTTTCTTTGAACCACTGCCAGTATAGTTAACAGGAAAAACTTGTAGGGGAATGAAAACACTCTCATGGAGCTCATCAGGTCTTTCGTGGTGATCAAGGTTTGTTCTGAAGCTGCTCGCCCAGTGGGGTTATAAACCCTGGTACTGAAAACCCTTAATTCATGCCATACCATTAACAAGGATTAGAATATAATGCATGACATATAATTACAATGCTTCTTGGTTGCTGACCATGGAGTGATGTCTCAAACCAAACCAGGTTAATCTAGTCGTAAGAGAAGTTCCTATGTTGAATTTGGAAAGGATCCAACCAAATCAGTGGTTTAGTCCTTTTTCCCTCTTTTTATGGCCCTGTAGTGAGATTGCACAGAAACACTGTGGTGCTGTAAGCCCAAGGCACAGACATATTGAGCAAGTGTAGATTTGTCTGGAAATCTTGCTCATCTGGGAATTTTCAGAAATGAGGATGCAGACCCCTGCTTGATTCAGCACCCTCTGAGACAACACCTCCCTCACTGAAGGGGTTGTTTCCCAGTATCCCGCTGAGTGTCGAACCCTTACAAGAAGCGCACGTCTCCAGCGGGGCGGTCAGGCGCCCGCCAGACGAAGGAGAGGTTCCTCTTGAGCTGTTTGTCTGAGTGGGTGACGGTGTCCCCCTCCTCCTCGCAGCGCAGCCGCTTGGAGCCGTGCGGGATGAGGATGAAGGTGCCGGCGATGCGGTCGTCAGTCACTCGCCGCGCCTGCAGCAGGAAGCCCATGAAGTCCCGAGTGCTCCTCACTGCCACTGCAGAGGCAACAGCACACTGTTACTCACCCTGGGACAGCCTGATCAAATACCCACCTCACTCCACTGCAGGGGCAACAGCACACTGTTACTCACCCTGGGACAGGCTGATCAAATACCCACCTCACTCCACTGCAGGGGCAACAGCACACTGTTACTCACATTCACATCTGTTTGAAACATTTACACTGGCAGTCACAATCACGGGAGAACCCAGACAAGTTGAGAGAAATGCAAAAGTGTAAGTGTGAGTCTGAGTGTACTACTGATTCATATGCAATATTACAGTTTCTTTACAAATAGCTTCTATTTTTTCCAGCAACAAAAATAACTAAACCTTCACACTACCACCTCCATGATTTGCTGCGGGCAAAACAAAGGCATTTAGAATAGGTTATCATGACTCCAACGAAGGATAACTATCTCCTTGATAACTATCATGATAACATGATAACTATCTCCATCTCCAAGGAAGGAGAATAAGAGTGATAATTCTGTATCCTTTACTATCCATCACAAACAAGCATATCCTGTGAGGGAAACTGAAAGGAGTCCATATCTGTAGCATGATGGAGCACAGATACTTAAAAAGGGAGAGCTTTCTGAACTTAAGTAGCCTTGGCAGAAGAGAAATGGAATCAAAAAGAAAATTATTCTGAAGTGTCAAGGGACAGAAAAATCACCCTTTGAGAAGCTGACATGGAGAGAACTGCAGCTTGAAAACCTTTGCTTTCAGAAATCCAAAATACCAAGAACAGCCTCATCCTTATTGTTCTGAGTCCTCTCTTCCGCTGCTGCACTGAAAGCCTCTTGAGATAATGTCCATCTTTCTACTGCTGCAGAAACATCACCTGCATCTGCTGCAAGGTTTCCCTCTCCTGAAACACTGCCTGGAGAGAAGATTATGCCAAAGAACCTAACATTGGTTTTTAGAAGAGTTTGGGTTTTCTTACTCCACATCTTCTATTCACGAAAATCAACAGTAGAGAGCATTTCGGAAAACCCCTGGGTGCTCCACGAGGTTGAACTGCAGTCCGTCGACAGCAGCCTTCATGAAACCAAACTGATTTCTCTGCTCATTTCATTTGAGACACACGTGTTCACCACATTCAAATGTCTACAAAATCTTATTACAGCAGGTCACAAGGCACTTTCTGATGCTTGACACCAGCGACATTGTAGCTAATACTTTATCAGGTAATATATCCTTTTGCACAACATTTTATTAATGAACAATGTGTAACTTTGCATTATATAGCCACGATGTCCTTTATTTCCATATTACTTTCCCATAGCATTCCTCTTTTGGACTCTGAATCTGTAATAAATGTCTCAGTACCCCCATAACCTGTCATCTGATGGTGAAACTTTTGCCTCTTGTACAAACAGGAATTTTCTGTAGGGAAACCGGCCGCAGACAACATTTAGCGTGATGCAGTTGTGGCATTTTGTAGTCGCATGTGGAAACACGTGCTCTGTATGAACGACTGCTGCATGTACTCTGTAGGAGTCATTGCTTTTGTCTCCATTGATGAAAAAGGCAGTCGCATTGGGAGGCCTTACCGCTTGGTATGTCCGCCACTGTCTGTCTCCAGTCTGACTGCCTTTACAGTTCTCACAGATCACTCCACCCCTCCGCTCGGCAAAAAATAATTTATACCTGAAGCCACGGTGGAACAGCCCTATTATTCACACAAGGGCAACCCGTTAACAAACACAGAAGCACCAGAAGCAAAAAAGAGTCTCCAGCACAGCTCTGGAGAACTATCTGAGGGTGTTCTGTACGCCACCCTTCACTAGCCATGCTTGTGGAGCTGCCTGTTAAACTTTCAGGGGATATTAAACAGCAATGTGCAGACAATGCCCCTTATCAACGGGAATCAGTGGAGTGCAACAACGTTCAGCGCCTCCCGCGCCACAAAGGTCATTTCACAAGTTCTCCACAGCTCATTAATTCAGCTTATTAGTTCAAACTAATGGCCTCGAACCAGACATATCAAAGCTATAATTTCAGCCACATCACATCAGACAGTCAGCTGGGTGATCAAGAGCTCTACAAAACCTTGCAAGAGGGCTGTGAAATTTAGGCATGTAGGGTCTCCCCCCCACCCCCACCCCAACAGCCAGTTGGATTTTCAGGTGCACCTCATTTCTAAAAGGTCAGGCACGTGCGGTACCCACCATCCTGAAGGGCATTTCCTTTAAAATCATCTCTCTTAATACAACAAGCAGTTTCAGATTGCATTCCATAAGCAAGATAAATCACCACTCCTGTGCCCCGTGCTTGGAATAGCTCCTCTCAGATAGGAAGGTCATAGGCTACATTCTTGGCCAAGGTTGGCTGTACGTTAGTCTAAATTGAGTTCTTTGAGCAGGCTAGACAGCAGTCCTGACAAGCAGGGTATCTAACTTTATTAGCATCAAACACTCCAGGGAGCCACATATGGTTTGTTCATTTTGAGAAGAAACCTTTATTTTGCTATCATTTTTATTTATTTATGTCTTGTATAACACTGCTCTTAGTACAGTATAATTCAGATGGGGATGCTGCAGTACCTGAAGGTCTACCTAAACAAAGCAAGCTCAAGGCATAAATCCATCCAGAAACAGGCCCCCAGGGGAGATGGTGAGCCCCTTGATTAAATACTACAAAGAGGAGAGCGCAAAGACATCTCCTTCTACAGAAGACAGAGGAAAATTAGAATTAAATTGCTTCACATACAGTTACTCTCCATTTCAAAATCGAGTTCTGTGCACCACACGCTGGAAAAGGAGTGCCTGCTCTGTATGTACTGTTGTGTTTCACTTTCCTTTAGGAAACACTGGACTGTGACAATGTTTTTTTCAAATAAAAAAAGTATACCTAGCCCATTGATTATTCCAGAAAATGTGAAAACCAAAGTGTTGCAAATACTAGGAGCTTAAGCATTTAACTTAAAAGTTGGAAAAAGACTAAAGCAAAAAAGCCAAACCAGCCAAGTAAGAGAAAGATAGATCAAGACATGCTTACCAAATGAATAGAGATATGAAATTCACTGTAAACCTGGATTCACTGTCATGGTACTGTACATGAGGAGCTTTCTTAATCAAAAAAGCAATTAAAGTTTTGGTCATACTGTAGGTTTTACTGTTTTTTTCCATGTATTAAATAATAAATGTATTAATTTTCTAGCGCAGACACATTGATAGTAGTTCTTTTAACATCTAATGCCATAAAACAATTTTTAAAAAAATGTCTGTCAAGCAAAAGAGCTGGAAGAGCTAGAAAAATGCCCTACACCTCCTAAACAGATCAAAAGTCTTGGCATGAAGTACCAGACCAAATCTCCGTTTGCATTTCACCCCTAATCACTTCCAACAACAGTTAGGAAGAGTGGCAACATACCAGGCACGGTGCCCCCAGGATGGTAGGAGACAGCCTCTGTTTGCAGGGTGATGTAGTTGTTGTGTGGGTCCTGGGGCTGGGCGCTGATGTGCCTGGGCTTCATGTCCATGCAGGCAGAGGGGTTTGCTCCATGGGAAAAGCTCCATGTGCAGGAGACCAGGCTCAGAGCAACCCCCACCAGGAGAAGCTGCTTTGAGCCACTTTCTGCCCTCTTGAAAGTCTTCATAAATCACACAAGGGTCAAGGGGGTTAGACATACACAAGACATCTCTTCTACCACTCCCAAGAGGAAAGCTGAGCCTAACATCAGCAGTCACAAGCTTATCTTTGAGAAATAGTTGCAAACTTCTGACAGGACGATATCACCATCACAGAGCAGATAGGATTATTTTTTACAATCCTTTAATTCTTACTAGGTGACCTTGCCCATAATCACAACCGAGAAATGTAGAAAAGTGACAGTTAATTTCAGTTTTCTAATTTTTTCAAAATGATACTTGAGAAAGTACAAAAGAAATAATAATTCCCCATTATCTGGGTATGTCATCACTCAGAAACAGCTAAATGAAGACTAAAAGTCTTTAGTAATATATTCAAAGAACACCACACAGCAAGAGTCAAGGGTACGAATTATTCAATAAGTAATGAAACAGAGAAGTTTAATCAGTGAAAATATATATTCTTTTCAAATGTGCAGAGTTCTTGACTTAAAAATATTTTATAAGAAATCTAATTTTTTCATTCTAATACAGAATATTTTTACATATATTTTACATTGACGGTTTTATAAAGGCTGTTCATTCTGAATTTCAAAATACAACTGCACCCCAACCAACATTACACCAACAGTAAAAGTCAAACAGAACCATCATACAAACAATGTTCGGGACTAAGCTTACACAAATGTAAAAGTTTACTGATATTTCATCACTGAATCTTTATTTTCCCTTTTATTTGTACGTCAATTAAATGTGCTTACCTTTACATGCATTTTAGTCTAGTTTGATGCCAGAGGTGGCCATGTGGAAAGTATGTCCAAAATAATCCCAAATGATACATCCTGGAGAAGATGTAGCTCGGCTCTCCCTCTCTCTAATAGGAAGTGCAGCAGCTGTTGCTAAACACCTCCAGGAACTTTCTGCCATCTCATCCTCCTTCTTTAATCGCATTACTCCTCGGCCTCTCTCTCACCTCACAGCCCCCTGGCTCTCTCTCTCTTCCTCTCTCTTGCTGTTGCCTTTGCCATGTAAATAATGGGGAAGTCTCTATTTCTGTGAGGGGATCATCTGGGGAGCACTTTATCCTACCTCAGCTGGAGCTCCTCATTGTTCTTTTCCTGAGACGTGAGTGGACTCCTGAACAAAGCCATTCCGCTCCATTGAGCTCACAGGACTAACCACCAAACATCATGGGAACCTTAAGCACTTTTGCGTAAGTTTGTTGTTTGGGAAGTTTGGTCTTCTCTCGTCAATGTCGTCCAAACGTATTTGCATGACTGCAGATCCACTGCAACAGCCTTTCAGGTCGAAGATGCTATCCAAAAAATCAATAGCTTCTATGGAAACACATCACGGAACTGTTGATGCTTTTAGTTCTAATGAATAAAACTTTTTTTTAAACAAAAATAATGTACCCAAAATGTTTAAAAGGAATTTTCAAGACAAACAGATTCAAAACCCAGTGGCTCCTTTCTAGTGAGCAGTGACACTGGATGACACAGCACAAGAAGGCTAATATCTACCAGAGCGCGTGGTCTGTGGGACAAATGGCCTTTCTAATCTCTGTGTTTGTATGCAAAGAAAATGGAAACTATTTATAGTGGAAGGAAATGTGTAACAAATGGTTTTTAAATTTAATTGTACAGTGACAACAAGGTTGGAAAGCGGAAACACTTGGCTGAATGAGGGACAGCAGATACTGTATATTGAAAGCAAAGGGTTCTGCAAAGAGGGGCTCGAGTGTTAATGAGTAAGCCTGGTTGCCTATAATTATAGCTAGCATGGCTGCAGGAGGAGACCTGTGAAAGAGGGGTGATGGTTGAGGTTTGTTAGGTAGGAGCTTCAATGTCCAAGTCAACTTTCTCAACTTTCTGATGGTTCACGAGCAGCAGTGTCTAAGGTGATGTCAGCATAGAACCCCAAGGAAAAAACATCCTCAGCAAAGGGCAACAGTGGGTAAAAGTGAATTCTCCAGGATTGTTATATCTGTGCATTAATTCAAAGGGCAGGGCAAGACAGGCAAGCAACTGTAGAGGCACTGACTGAAAATTTCAACCTGGATCACTGGCAGGCAGTTTAATCAAAAACACTGCCCCGAGAACTCCACAGAGCAAGATGCCATAGTCAGGCTGAAGTGTACAAACTGCTCACCACACCAAATCACACATGTTTTCAAATCCAGAGGTGGTAATAACACAGAGGAGAAATGCAATCAGGTAAGATGAACCATCCTTCACCATGTATGTAAAAAAAATGTTTGTGTGGGGTCAGCCCAAAGAACTCCACAGCCCTGATTGCCTGGTTCCAGGAGTGGAGGATTCTGGTGCTTCTGTAATGTAGTGAGGCACATTTTCCTCACAACCTGTGGGCTCTCATATTCCTTTAGAAGGTCAGATCAAAGCTGGTCACTGCTTAATGGCACTGAGTGATCATCTTCACCCCATGTTGCAAAATGTCTTTGCTTCTAGGAAGGGTGTCTTCCAGGATGACAATTCACAGAACATGTGTGGTGGTCCAATGTTAAAATGAGCATGAAACTAATGTGATCCACATGTGAAGTCAGAACACCAGATGTCACATGCAGGCTGTACTGGTGTATACGGTGGCTCAAAACTGTATTAAATGACTTTACATCAGTGTTTTCATGTTATTATCCACTATCTGTATGCTTAAAAACATTCTGACTAGAACTATTCCATGCAAGACCGCTCTTAAGAGTTATATTCTCTTGTCAAGATAAGAGACAATTATTATCCACTCAGGAGATTAGATCCTTCATTTACTCACACATTAATAAATCAATTATGAGAAAGGCTTTAAGAGATGTAGTCTATAATTTTACCTAATAAGAAAGCAAAGTGGATTCAATGCATTTATACAGAGCACTTAAATTACAAACAGTTGTCCTCAAAGTATTTACCCAGTGTGTTCATGCAAAGTTCTTACCTATAACGGGGTCAAACCAATTCACAATTTAAAATTACTCGATCATATTCCACTTCAATATTAATGAGCGTGAGTCTTCTTGGAGCCATTCATTATCTACTTGACATTTTCCTAGGCTTGGTAGAAAACTGACGAATGATAAGATTGGGAGAAAAAAAATCCCGCTTACCAATGCTTTGTGCAATTACTTTGTGCACACAAAAATGTGTATTGCTTACAAAAGTTTCTGGAAAATAAGACTGTGGATACTGTAGGTCTAATTTGATTTCAAATAACGATTTATACCGATATGAATGCAACAGAGTATACTTTGTTGCCTCTACTGCTTCGATACATTTTTTCACCATATTCAATACATTTGCTTTGATCGATATTACTCCTGTCAGACCTCCAGAATGTGAATCATAACCTTGCATCAAGGCCAGTGAGAGATACCGCCTAAAGCCTTCTTCCCCCCCCCCCATCAACAGTTCATACATTTGTGTCCTGATCAATGTGCGATGAGTTCCTCCATTGAAAAGACACAACACAACCAAGGGTTACATCTGGTTTCTTAGAGAGAAAAAATAAGAAAAGCTTAAAAAAGGGTATTTAAACGATCGATATCTAGTCTCACCTCGCACCTTAATTTTTTCAGAGCTGCCACAGGCCTTTCTGTAAAGGATAAGTGGACATTTGTTTCCGGACAGGGGAACATCAAGAAGCGGCACATTCAAACCCAGACTACTATTTGTGCACACCACGCACTGGTCCAAAATCCCAAAAGGTTTGTTTTACAGTTGAAAGGCAAAAGCTATACTTACTGAGGGTGTAGTGCTGCAGGCAGCATTGTTGGAGCGCTACTGGAAGCAAACCAACAAGAACACCACACTGGGACACGAACTGAAAGAGGAAAGACTCAACTCAACACACTTTCATGCACACACTCAAATATTTTGCTATTTTATTGCCCACTAATTATCATGGCAAAAGCCTGTGGTGTGGGTTAGTGTATAAGCCGTCTGCATGATGTTGGGGTCGCACTAAAGACATCAGAAATACAATATATATACAATTTTTGTGAATGGTTAAATATCTGTAATGCTAGGCAGGGTAGTCATGCTTAGCTAAATATCCTTAGATACAAAAGGATAAAAATGCATAATTACTGTGTAATAGTGTAATTATTTTCTTTTAAAAGTAAATAATTCACCTGAAATGACAGCACTTTGTTCTTCAAGAAAGCTGTTATCTTTTTAAAAATCCATTGCAATGCATATAATAGATCTATCAGTGAATGATGAACAGAATAAAACAAGAAAATTGTTCAACAATGTGCAAAGTATCACTTAATCATTATCAAGCCAATGGTTGTGATTCCCATGAGAAATATTTCAATCTTGGGAGGAACTGAAGAATTAAACATCTGGGAATCTGGGAAGCCCCAGACTACTCTGAAAAATTACCATCCTAAGAGAAAGTGCAATTACATATTCTGAGAGGTGGTGGTGCCACAAGATGCAAATTGTTTTAAATACAGGTTTAAAAATGGAAATTCAAGATGGTGGGGCAGGTTCACCATAAACACGTATTTTAAATATTTACCTTTTCTCTTCAGGTTTTATAGTGACCTGCATACACAGAAAATCTGCAAAAATCATTGTTTGAAGAGCATAGCCAGCAATGCAAAACATGTATAGAATATACAGCCTCAGAAGCTCTTAATTATTGAATTTGCACTGTAATGAAATTAACATGAAATGTATTAGACAGACATGCAGAGAATATGTACTTAATTTCTAACACATTCTCTGTGCAGCAGGAGGTGTACTGACAGACCATTATTTTTTTAACTGTATTAATTGGTTTTCCGTACAGAAATGTGAAGACTACAATAGCCAGCAGGGCTTTGATTAAGATAAGTAAACATTTTGCTCAGCTAACCCCGCTATACCTGCTGTAATGATTCACTGTTTGATGCCGAACATGGCATTCCTTATTAAAGCAAGGCTCCACAACATTTGATCAATAACATGTCCTTTATCCTCAGGTTAAGGCTGACCTTGCAGTCTTTGTCTCCTTCTTAGGCAGTGTATATGCACAGATGGTGAAGAAGCAGTCTTTTTACTTAGAGATCCGTCATCACAAATATAAAATGCTGTCTAAAATTTATAACATTTTAACAAGTTCATTGGAAGAGTAGTACACTCTTATTGCATGCATTTCTTCCACTGTGAAGAACTACCAGAAAGATCAATTTGCTAAATTACTAAAGATGTATAAAAAATGTATGGTACCCAAAGACACCAATAACTTCCAAGCCTGCATTTGGGCTCAGATTCCATTGCTGCATGGAGCTTCCTAATCTTCCATTAAGAAGCTCCATGAAGGGTAAATGGACTCCAAACCAAGTTGTTTTCTGCAGCTTAAAGGAGACTGAGTAAGGCTACTACTGTATTAAGACAATTCCCTAGAACAAGGGTTAGCAACACATGGCACGCAACTAAGTATAAGAGGTGAATACATTTTTTTTTAAAAATGTATGCTTTACTGCTCTGTCAATCTCTGAATTACGTGCCCCAATAAAAGCTCTTTGACATAGGAAGAAAAAAAAAATTCAGTTTAGTGTATTACTTTTACCAAGGCCAGAATCTTGCGTTGTAGGAAAGCCCGTAATGTGTGTGGAAATCTTTATCAACAGTTAAAATCGAGCTACAAAATGGCACAGCTTTGCAAAACATGGAAACACGTTTACAGAGAGGGAATATACAAAAGACTTTCCATAGTTTTGTTCCGTTCTCCTTCATAAAGACAACCACCACTTGAATAAGCGACTTACCTACCTGCTAGATCAGTGGAGACATGCCTAAACAAAATGGCACAAAAGCAATGCAAAAGATGAGTGTTAAAAGATGTATGGTATTGGTATTTATTGTTGGGTTTGTTGAGTGTGTGAATTGTAAAAGTCATCCTGCCACTGGCAGTTTGTAGGAGATACAGCAACTCGGATGGAGCTCGAGAATAGCCAAGCTGCCTAAAACTCGATCACGGCACAATAACTAGGCAAAATACTAAAGGGGGTTCAGTAGTAAGCATTGCTACCTCATAGGGCTGGGGTCCTGCGATCAATTCCAGATCTGGGAATTTATCTATGTGTTTTTTGCTCTCCCCCAGTTCTCATAGGCTTTCTCTGGGTGCTCAGGTTACCACCAACACAAAGACAATCTGGTAGGCTAACCGGCTTCTAGGAAAATTGGCCAAGGTGTGTTTGTCTAGCTCATGATGGCCTATCGTCCAGCTCAGGGCGTCTCCTACCTTGTGCCCATTGCTTGCCGTGTTAGATTCCAGGTCTCCTGCAATCCCGACATGCATAAAACGCTAGAAAATGAATGGGTTTAATTTTGAGGATAGAGGGGCCACACAACCAGCGTTTCTAATGGATCTCACTGCACATCTAAAACAAACGCAACCTCTGATTGCAGGGTTCAGACCAAACTTATGCTTTTAAAAACTATAAAATCTTTTTGAAATGTGGGAGGCATTTCATGAAAACTTACCATTTATTGTCAGGACACAGGTTTATTTACTATTCACTAATGCCAACAACTATTAAGACATTAAAGACAACCAAACGCCACCAACATGAATGCGATCGTTTCAGTGGGTGAATGCTGAGGATTGCATCATGTAGCTTATTCAATTACAGTGTTCAGCCTTATGGACCCCAAAGTTTAGGAAGACCTCAGCAATTGACAGCAAGAGCAAGAATTAGATTTAATTTTATGCATTTATGAAAACTAAAAAGGACATACAATTGATATATACTTTAACACTCCAATCCCTGCAAAGTGGGTTGACCATGAGGAGATCAAGGTCTAGCATGTGGATTTACTTCTTGATAGATTTTTTTAAAGCGTTTTCAAAATTCCCTTTTCAAAAGGTTGATTTAGGCCAAAATCAATTTTTGAAAACTATACACATTGCTAATACCCTCAAATCTACAGCTTTAATTCTATTTAATAAGAGCCAAATTCCACTCAATGAATCAGAAAACATGGTTTATTCAATGCACCCCTGGCCTCACCTGACCCCACGCAATTCCAAAAAAAGGTTACCCAATACAGACTACCCTAAAACTACAATTTTTATTATTTTTTTTTTACACAAATAGAGCCCACGATCAATGACCACTTAGAACAGAGATCAAGTAACTGGTGCTGGTTTGGAACACCTGCCATAATGCCAGTGTGTTTAACTGACCTCATCGGTACCCATTGCCATCCAGGCAAGATGCCGTCAATCCCTTACAGAATTCCAGAATCTCAGGGGGACAGAGCCGATTTTATAGTGAGCAACATCTTCTTAAGCTTTCACAATAGCTACTTCAAAACCTTTTTGTACATGCAATCAGATCTAAAAAAAAAAATGAAAGAACTCAAATGTTCATTTATTCAAGGTCTTTTCTTCATACAACAAAAAATGACTTCCATTCAAAAAAGTTCCAACAATGAAACATAAAAAGAACACAGGCTTGAACAAAAGAAAAACTTGAAAGCAGATTTAAAAAGAAAATACTCTTCATCACATCTTCCTCTTTTGAGTACTTATGTACAACACTGGGGAGAAAACAAAAAGGAAACGTCACTATATTTGAGATAGACTGTAATGACTTAATTAAAATAATACAGTTGAACCCAAAGCACATAATTCTGTATAAAAGTTCAAAGGGGAACTGCAATGTTATTTTTATATTTCGGGGTTAGAAACAATCAGCATTGATGAGTGCAGTTCAAAACACAATGAAAGTAAAATGTACACAAAAAGCCTCTAATTTACGATACAAAATAGACGACATTTCCAGGTATGCGCAGCGCAATGTTCAGTGATTAAGAACAAGGCAACATGTTGTGGCCGTATGACATTGTAAACAAGCAGGCTTGTGAATACATCTCTTTTAATCCAATGGAAATATTGCTCTCAACTTCGAGACAGTTTTGCCAACAAATAGTACTTGTTAACTTTACATGCAGATCATGTTGTAAACTTCATGGTGAAATCTGCATGAACAACCAGTACTTATTCACTCATTTATCAAATTACATTAGTCATTACAGAGACTAGTGAGCAGGAAGGGCCGGCTTAAGCCACAATTCTTGCCAACTCTTCCTCTTGCCTGTGGCGAGACCAGCAGTTTTTGACATGGTGATCTTAAACTGTTTTCACAAAATTCAAAATTGTGCATCATTCCAAATTTGTAAAAGATTTATTGATACCATCAATTTATTTTGTTACCGATAGTGAATAACTGGTCTGAAAAAGTAAACACCATTGGGGAAAAAATGACACTTAAGTAGGCTGAAGGAAAACAAATATTCATTAATTCCTTGCATGGGTATAGTCCTTTCCCTCCAAAAGAGCTTAACCTATGGAAAGAGACCCAATTCACCCATATCTTAAGAGCAGCACCCACCTGGACGATGCAGAACAAATGGGGAACAGAGAAATGACTTCAACTGAATTAATGAGAAAATCTAGAGAGGGCAAAATCGTAGAAACTTAAAACCTCTTCTCTGCCCCATGGGACAGTTAATGACCAAGTGCTCCATAACCACACTGGGGAAACTGGTTTTGAACTACAGAGCTGTCATTATTGGCTGCTACAAGACAGCAGCAAGGAATGTCTCCAATTCAAGGAATGACCAGGCCCAGCCCAGCTTTGTCTCTGAGATCTGACAAGATATACAAGTCAGTTGGGAATGCTGCCATCATGATATTCACAATAATCTACTAAACATTAGTATTCCGTTAAAGCAACAAATTAACGATTTGCCATTTTTTGTCTAGTGGATTCTGCATTTTTCGGAACAATCTCTGCAAAATGATTTTAAACGATTTAGCAGTTGCCTTGATACATGTCAACATACTTGATTATTTATGGCATGATTCTTGATTATGCATCTTAAAGCACCACAATGTCAAAGACAACACTATAGTATACATTGCAAGTGATGTAGTTCATTACAAAATCCTACTGAAATCGGAAACTAATACAAATAAGTTATGCTACAGATGGCTAGATATAAAAGTAAATAGAAAAGACAGTTAATTCCTTATACTTGTATAACTTTTCTAGACACGCCACTCAAAAGCACTTTACAGCTAATGGGGACTCCCCTCCACCACCACCACCACCTGGATGATACAATGGCAGGCAAAGAGTACCAATATGTTCACCATACACCAGCTATCAGTGGGGAGAACAGAGTGATAAAACCAAAGCATAGATGGGGATTACTGGGAGGCCAAGATTGGTAAAGGCCAGGGGGAAATATGGCCAGGACTACTCTTTTTGAGATATGCCCAGAGATTTTTAATGACAATGGACTGTCGGGGCCTCGGTTTTGTATCTCACCTGAAGGATTGCATCTTTTTTACAGTATAGTGTCCCCATCACTATACCGTAAGTGGGACTTTAGGAGCCACAGAGACCACAGGTGCAAGAGCTACCTAGTGGTCCCACTAACACCTCTTCCAGCAGCGACCTTAGCTTTTCCCAGGAGGCCTCCCATCCAGGTACTGGCCAGGCTCACACCTGCTGAGCTTCAGTGGGTTACCAGTTGTGAGCTGTGATATAGCTGCCATTATAGAAATGATAAAAACCATTTATAATCTATGTTGGCACGACTACTAAGACCAGCTTGTTGCATATTCTTGCTCCACCTCACCTATGAAAATGCTACAAAAAAAGTGAAAAAGGCCAACCTACCATTGTTTCCCCGCAGGAAAGCATCTCCATACTTATTCTTCAGCTGCCCATTGACATACTCCTCTGTCTGTTCCACAGCAATGTTCATGTAGCCATCCAGACAGGCCAAGACTCCTGCACATAGACAGTGGAAAGGCTCATTAAGTAATGCCACAGTTCCCTTCTCACTTTATCCAAGAAGCACACTGCCTTTTAAAGCCTTAAAATTAAAACAAATTCCAACAGACTAATCGAATGTTATTCAGTCCAATTCACCACTACAGTCTCCTGCTAGACTGGAGAACTGATACAGTACGAGGCTTTATTTTAAAACTGTCACAGCAGATACTGCCAGTACCAATGGACCATACCCAAGACACTTCAGGACATACCACAACATGCTGTGCAACATCTATTTGGAATGGCAGTACCCACACCCCAACATGAACTGGTCAAGAACACATCAAGAAGCATGTTATTTCCACATCTCCAGCTCATTTACTGGGCGTGGGGGTGTCTCATTGCCATTCTCGATTTAATTTTATTTTGGATGTGGGGGTTGCTATGCACCAGTTTTGAAAGATGCAAAGGAACATCCAGAGAGTAGTTCAGTGTCTCACAGTGCCTCAGCTGAAAAGCCTTAATCAAGGTTGTACTTTAGAGCAGTTTCAAACTAGTACAAGAATGACTCATACTCCACTTGTGAAAGAGTGGAACCAGAGCTCCGACTGGGCATTTATGTGGCCACTATTCAACAGCTGAAGGATGTGCTCTCACTTATTAAAGAAAATGCTTCCTATTCTACCAAATGTGTATGGCCGTGCTTTAAAGATGACTGGATACTCCAACTCCAAAAGTTACCCAAGTCTTACCTCTGTAATCGACACCAGAGTTCAGTTTCACCACTACTGGTCTTCCGATGATTTGTTTCAGAAAATCACTAGGGGTTTGCTTCCGGAGACTCATGTCGGCTGGCGAGGCACGTCATAAAGTTATTAGACAGGACGGTAATGGTAGAACGACATTACAAAACAACGATATATTGTAGGATAACTACTTGGAACAGTACAGAAGTAGTATATACCGATACATTCAAAACGTAGAGATTAACTACACAAGCACAAACGCAGCAAGCTCATTTGATTGACAACAGCAATGAAGCCTCCTATTCTAGCACAATTAATGTAACTGCGTCGGCAGGTGTATATTACAGTAGGACTAGCATTTAAGTAAAACACACAACCCAGCTTAAAAACTAACTATACAGAAAGAGCATCATTTGAAGCTTCGTAATTAGAGTAAACTTAAAATCGATAGTATTACGAACCAAGAGAGAGTTCAAGAGCTTTTTTTAAAAAATATGACGGCGATAGCTATCAGAAATGTATAAAATAACATTCGACATAACCATTCCTGCATGCTCTATCGCTACAATAAAATTCGTCAGGAAAAGGCCTTCGCTCCACATACAATACCGAAAACTGCTCTTAACCCCTTGAAAAATGTTTGTAGTAAAGCTCCACATCACTTATAAACGTCACCTAAACTCCACATATTAATAATACCGGGCTAAATACACACACAATTAAAACTTACCGTTTCGTTTCAAACACGATTTATCTCAAAACTCTAAGAGAGCGATGGAGCCAATAGCCGATTTATACGCTCGGGTTTTCTACGGCAGCCGCAAAGGGAAACACATTCTCCGAGTAACGCAAAGTCGAAGTTAATCTTCGGACTCCAACCACAACACTGAAAAAACTATTGGAAAAGGCGTTTCTGGCGAGCTGTGACGCTCCTGATAGAAAGTGCAATTCAAACAAATCTGGTTTGGCAAAACGCCATTTCTAGTATTCGTACTGTAATCCTTATGTGCTGGAGTGAGTTATATGGTATTTTGTGCAACTCTGGCTGTGGGTTTTGGTAGAATGAAACAAGACATACTATGATTTGAAAACAGCAGAAAAACGTTGAACGCTGAAGGAACCGGCAAAGGCTTTATGTTTAGGACTAATCACAAAGTTACAGTACATATTACAGCGTGCTTCTTTCCAGGTTGCAGATAAGATTAAGGGGTATTTAGGGTAAAATGGTTTACTAAACCTAACCTAAAGATATCTAACTTAAATAATTCTTAATAATGCATTTAGGAAGATTTTTTAATACAATGAGCAGTGCCTTGATACCATTTGTTTAACTGCATTACGTTTGCCCTTTCAGCTGTTTAGTACCAGTATCCTCTAAAACTTTCATGGAATGAAAATTCGTTACATTTATACTGCATATGATTTTTTTTTTGTCTCAAATGATCCCAAAGTGCTTTAATGACCCACTTAAACCATCTACCACTGTAGGGCAGCACCTACATGGATGACACCTGACAGCTATGATTCGCAGCAGTTCAGGTAAAGAAGTGAGCATTTACATGTCACTGTATCAGACCACATTGAGGGGAAGACAATCTTGGATTTTAAATGTTCTTATTAACTGCATGGGACATTTTAAGAAATTTGATGTTGATCTTTATCTTAATACTGTAGTTTTAATAACAGATCACCATACTTGCATATGTGTATTTTAATCATGCCTTTCCTCCAGAGATAAAGCTGTATAAGCTGTATTTTTTACATCAAGAAAGTTTAATATAACTTTCATGTAGAAATGGGTTCATAAAATCATATTTGTTGTACGTGTAAAGGGTGGAAGGGTGGTGCAATGGTTAGCTTTGTTGCTTTGTGGCGCTGGGGCACAGGTGCTCTCTGCATGGAGTTGGTGTGTCCTCCCTGTGTTCCCTTCAGTTTCCTCTGGATGCTATGGTTTCCTCCCACAGTTCAAAGACATACTGGAAGAATTAATTGGCGTGAGTATGTGTGTTTTAGTCTGTGTCTGCCCTGTGTGTGATGGACTAGTGTCCCATCCAGGGTGTATAAGGCTCTGGATTTCCTTATGACCCTGTACTGGATAACAAAATGATGGTTAAGATAATACTGGTTTAGAACATGGATGGTTCAGTGGCACTGAAGTCTGTTTGAGAAGATGACGCTCTTGGATTAACTACACCCTGCCAAATGGACTAGGTGGGCCATAAAGCCTCTTGTCTATAACTGTTCTATGCTAAGTCATCTACTTGAACTCCAGACAATGCAGAATTCTTCTGCAGCAGAAGGCCCACCCTGTGGTGTAGC